TAACAGAACCTTACTTGAGATGACTAGGAGTATCATGAAACACATGGATATTCCGAATTATCTATGGGGGGAAGCTGTAAGGCATGCTACATACTTGAATAAACAGAGTTGCGACCAAAACTTTGAGTTCACAAACGCCATACGAAGCTTTTAAGAAGAAGAAGCCTAATGTGGAACATTTAAGGATATTTGGTTGCGTTTGTTATGCAAAAACAACAACTCCTCATTTAAGAAAGCTGGATGATAGATCGCAGATGCTTGTGCTTCTAGGAACAGAGCCCGGATCAAAGGCATATCGACTATTAAACCCAACAAGCAGAAAAATAACAGTAAGCAGGGATGTTGTTTTTGATGAAAAACGTAGCTGGAAGTGGAATAAATCGGGAACAGAAGACAACAGAGGTACTGGAAATCTCAGATTCAGAGTTGAGAATCTGAGAAATACTGAAGAAGAAGATGTTGAAGGAGAAACAAGGGAGAACACGATGAGAGAAGAGGATAATAACGAAGGCAGCATCGAAGGAGATTACAACTCTGAATACGATTCAGAGTGTGGTGAGGAGACACAAGTCGAGCCTGTTCTGAGAAGATCTACAAGAATAAGAAAACAACCGAGTTACTTGGAGGACTACGTTGCTTGTCTGAGTTAGAAGGAGAATGTCTTCTATTGGCTATGGATGAAGAGCCATGGGATTTCAATGAGGCAAAAGAGTTAAAGGTGTGGACTGATGCTTGTAATGATGAGATGTCATCAATTAACAAGAATGGAACTTGGAGCCTCGTTGATCTCCCTTTAGGAGCAAAAGCCATCGGGTTGAAGTGGGTTTTTAAGATCAAGCGCAATTCAGATGGAAGCATAAACAAATACAAGGCTAGACTTGTAGCCAAATGGTATGTGCAGAGACATGGTATAGACTTCGATGAAGTATTTGCGCCGGTAGCTCAGATCGAAACGATCAGGTTCATCATTGCTCTGGCTGCGTCTAATAGTTGGGAAGTACATCACCTTGATGTGGTGAATTAAAGGAAGAAGTTTATGTCTCCCAACCTGAAGGGTTTATAATCGATGGATGTGAAGAAAAAGTGTATAAACTCCACAAAGCACTTTATGGACTCAGGCAAGCCCCAAGAGCTTGGAATGATAAGCTAAACCAGATTTTGCGTGGGCTAAATTTCTTTAAGTGTTCAAAGGAGCCTTCTCTGTATCGAAAACAGGATAAGGAACATCTACTTCTAGTTGCTGTGTACGTAGACGACCTACTCATTACAGGATCAAGCTTGAGGTTGATCTTAGAGTTTAAAGAAGAGATGTCAAAGAAATTTGAGATGAGCGACTTAGGGAAATTGATGTATTACCTCGGCATTGAAGTTTTCCAAACTCAAGGAAGTATTACGTTAAACCAAGGGAGGTATGCAACTAAAATCTTGACAGAAATAGGAATGGGGGAGTGCAATGCTGTTCATACTCCAATGGATTCAGGCTTGAAGTTATCAAAGGCACCGGAAGAGAAGAGGATCGATGAAAAGGATTACAGAAGGAACATTGGATGTCTTCGATATCTGTTACATACAAGACCAGATCTCTCTTTTTGTGTTGGTGTGTTGAGTCATTATATGCAGGAGCCAAAAGAGTCGCATGGTGCGGCAAGTCTTAAGGTATGTTCAAGGGACTCAAAGTGTCGGCCTTACATTCAAGCGAGAGGGATCAAGGGGAGATGGACTTGTGGGCTACAGCGATAGTAGCCACAATGTGGATGTTGATGATGGTAAAAGTACCACAAGTCACATTTTTTATTTGAATGATTGTCCAATTACTTGGTGCTCTCAAAAGCAGGAGACCGTAGCTTTATCATCATGTGAGGCCGAGTTTATGGCTGGAACAGAGGCTGCAAAACAGGTGATATGGTTGCAGGATCTCTTAAGTGAAGTCGCAGGCAAACCGTGTGAGAAGGTGACAATCCGGATTGATAACAAATCAGCAATTGCCCTCACCAAAAACCCGGTTTTCCATGGTCGTAGCAAACATATACACCGAAGATATCATTTTATCAGAGAATGCGTCGAAAACGAGCAAGTGAATATAGAGCATGTTCTCGGAACAGAACAGAAAGCAGACATCTTGACAAAGGCACTTGGTAGGATCAAGTTTAAGGAAATGAGAGAGCTCATAGGTGTTAAAGATGTACTTCAAGCTTAAGGGGGAGATTGTTGGAAGTAAGCTTGAAGAGCAAGCTTCTAGATTATTCTTTGAATGAAGTTTTCCTAAAAGAGTTAGGATTAGAAAAAAGGAAACTAGGAGTTGTCTATTTCCTTTAGGTTTAGGAGTTATCTAAATCATTCCCTATATAAGTAGTTATTAAAGATGTGGTTTCATTTAGTTTTGGAAGTTTTAGTTTTTGAGTCAGTTTTCTAAAGCAATAAAAAGAGAAACTTTTATTAACCTAAATCTTTAAAGGTTCTAATAATAGTACATACGTATACGTTAAAAAAAAAAGTAACAATATATAAACCGTCGAGTTCAAACGTTTGGTCTATAGACACTACTGTAATATTAGACTAAACATATATATATATATAAACTTGTGCCGTATTAGCAAGGAAAAATTTTAATCCTAAATTTAGTTCAGTCATTGAACCGAAATTATGGAACAAAACAACAAATCATTATAAGAAACTGTTTCACAGAAAAATAGAAATTAAATTTCACTTTCACAAGATTAATTAGATTATGGTATCAATTTCACATAAAAATAGAAGTTAGACAATGCTTATGGTATTTTTGATGCGTATTATTGGTGCATTTAGATAGTGATGATAATATTAATATCACTGGTGCCTTTAGATAGCGATGATAGTAGGGATCACCGGTGCAATTGAACAATGACGATGATATCATTGATGCGTATGATAATGAATTAATGACGAGGCTATTGCATGTGTTTTAAAAGTTGTGTTCATTAGTATCATTGATGTGTTTAAATAACGAAGAAATTTTTATTCTAAAGGTTTTTTTTATCTTCTTTTTTTTCGTATCATGGTTATCTAATTAGAAATCTTTTATTATACTCTTTTATAAATATTTTTACAGCAGTATTTGGCATATATGCTTTCCCACAGTATGTGTTTATTTGGTAATCTAAGCTTAATTATAATGTTTATGTATTTTATATTTCTATTGTGTTTAACTCAGTAAATTATACTATATTTCTAACATAAGGTATTATTTTGTTTAACAATTTAGATGTTTCTCAAAAATCAAAAGTCAAGACTGACCGTCCATATGACAAGCCAATTAAGCGCAAAGGTAACAGTCATTAGTGTTTTCCTAGGGTTGCTTATTTTCTTTTATGAGAGCTAATTATAATATGTAATGTAAACATCACCAATTTTTTTCTACTATGTACGTAATCGTTGTTTAAATTTTTTAAATACAGTTCTATACTTTTTAAAAGTTGATATTGTTTTCTGATTAAGACCACAACTTTTATTAGAAGAATCATCTTGTAAAATTATTGCCATGCCTTCTGACTTTTGAGAATGACTTTTGAGAATGCAAGAATCAACTGGAACTAGCTAATAGTAATTTATTTGGAGAAGTTCATTAGTTGTATGGTCGAGATTCTCCGAAGACACCAAATTTGGAAGTTATCAGTCACCAGTCACCACTAGTCAATGTGAGCGAAATTAAATAAGATATTTTGAAGAAAACAAAAATGGGTAACTTAAAACTTGTGGCTGAGATGAAGCATTGCAGGATTTGATCATTTTGAGGTCCACTTTCTCTCTCTTTTGTTTTCAAAGTGGTATGAATATTATGTTTTTTTTAAAGTAATTATTACAATAGTTAACTATTTGTAAGTGAGTTGTAAAAATAGTTATGGTCAGAAAAAAATTCCATTATCGACGAAACGATCAATAGTGAAGAGCATTTTAATGTACTCGGCAGTCTCGGCTTGAAAATATCATAATCTGACTGGTATGTTTAGGTAAGAAGGCTGTTTCACTAATTATGTAATGTTTTTCTTTATCATTCTGCTAAACCTTTTCTTTTGTTAGTTAAAGGAAGCATTCTGATAAACTCTTTTTTTTTGGTTAAAAGAAGCATTCTGCTAAACTCCTTTTTTTTGGTTAAAGGAATTATTCTGCTAAACTCTTTGTATTCTGTTTTAACCAAATGTTATTTCTTAGATATATGATATATCCAACAAGACCTTGAGTAGAAAACTATCGTGATTCGTAACAAAGAAAAGAAAAGGAAAAAAACAAAAAAAGATGAGGATAAACGAGAGAGGTGGAATTGCTTCTAGATTTAGTAAAGAAGCATAAGAGAGCCTCCTTTAATGTCTTTTAACGTTACTCTTCCCAATTTGTTCCAACATGTCTTCTTCTTCACAGACACATACGTTTTATCCCTTTCTCTCTCCATGTAAAATATCCAAAATTCTCGATCAGTTTATATAAATCAAATGAAAATATTTTTTCCGGGAAAAAAATTATACCCGTACCTTAATTTGCTAATTATGTGATTTTTACTTTGAACATGAAAAAATGATGGTGAAGAGTGATTTCAAAATTAATGATTATGCGTTCCCATTAGTTTTATTTCTATATATAAAAAACTAAATTAAATAGTACTAATAATTAAAGTTGGATTATCTGTTTTGTCGTTTTCAAGCGTATCTAAAGGTTCCTTCCACCGCCTTCGGAACTCAAAGAAAGAGTTAAAAAGAAATCAGTTTAGTATCATCGCAGCCGCTCAACTCACAGAGCTGTCACGTAAAGTAACTTATAAATCTTCCACGTCATCAAATAATCCACGTGATCAAGTCTTACACCGCCGATTTGTGACTCGTATCTCACAGGCACGTCACGCGAGCTTATCACTTTGGATTTAACCGCGGTTTGAAAAAATATAGATAACCATGGTTAAATATTAACCAAACAGTGGTTTAAGTATTTCCCACTACTCAGCATCAGTTTATAAAGAAGCAAAACTTTGCCGGAGATTTAGCAAACACATCGGAGAAGACGAATGTGATTTTCTCTTTCACTTAAATAAATGATGATCGGAGAAACTCATCGTGCTTATCCAACGGTTCATATTCCTCCATGGCCATTTTTCGACGATCTAACGGCGGCAGATTTTAATGGAAGTCCTGACGGCGGAAATAGCATGATCGAGGCTTTGGCTGCGTTGCAGCATTATCTTCCGTCGAACGAGCCGGATCCGGATTCGGATCCTGATTTATCGGGTCCGGATTCACCAATCGATGCTTACTCCTGCGATCATTTCCGGATGTTCGAGTTTAAAGTCCGGCGATGTGCCCGTGGCCGGAGCCATGACTGGACGGAGTGTCCGTACGCTCATCCCGGAGAAAAAGCTCGCCGTCGAGATCCGAGGAAGTATCATTACTCAGGTACGGCGTGTCCTGATTTTCGAAAAGGCAATTGCCCAAAAGGCGACACGTGTGAGTTTTCTCATGGAGTCTTCGAGTGTTGGCTTCATCCGGCGCGTTACCGGACTCAGCCGTGTAAAGACGGTGGTCACTGTCGCCGTCGTGTTTGTTTCTTCGCTCATTCGCCGGATCAGCTTAGGGTTTTGCCGAATCAAAGCCCCGATCGAGTCGATTCGTTCGACGGTGTGTCTCCGATACGTAGGGCGTTTCAGTTTTCAATTTCTCCGGCGTCTGGTTCGCCGCCGGTGAGTCCACGAGCTGACTCGGAGTCTTCTGCTTTACTGAGTCGTTCACTCGGGTCTGGTTCTGTGAACGACGTCGTTGCGTCTCTGAGGAACTTGCAGCTTAATAAAGTGAAATCTCTTCCTTCGTCTTGCAACAATCATCAAATCGGATGCTACGGATCCGGGTTCGGGTCTCCTCGTGGATCAGTCTTGGGTCCCGGGTTTCGGAGTTTACCAAATACCCCGACCCGACTCGACACTGGGTATACGGACATTTGGGATAATGGTTTGGAGGAAGAACCGGCGATGGAACGGGTTGAGTCGGGTCGTGAACTGCGAGCGAAGATGTTCGAGAAGCTGAGCAAGGAAAATTGTATGGATCGGGTTGACCCGGATCCATATCAGGGATCGGGTGAAGCTCCTGATGTCGGGTGGGTCTCTGAGCTCGTGATGTTATAGAACCCGATCCGTACCCGGATATTTGAATTTGGTTGATAAATTAAGGAGCTAAAGGATTATAATCGTCATGGATTTTCTTAGAAAAATTATGTGTAAATATTTTCTACTAATTTCGCCTATATATATTATTGATTATCGGGGGAGATGTCTCAATGTAATATACAATGCTTAGGATCTTTTTCTTATGATTAAATCTGTAAGAATATTATATTGTTTTGTTTTTTTTTCATGTAGTTTATTAATTATATGAATGTAACGCCAACGCAAATTATTAATTTTCTTAGAGCCCTAACTGGGATATTTGTTTAATGTTTCAATTTGAGTAATGATTTGTTTTGTTCTATTTATTTAGGCATGCGTGAAATGGTGTGTGATGTGGATTAACGTCCGTAAACATCATTATCCGAGAGTGTGATTATGTCCTAAATAAGTGGGTGATCAATTTTTGTCTTGTCGAACTTGGGATGGGTCGTTGTACTTGTGTGTCCTTTTGGCAAATATAGTCATTAATTTGCTTAAACAAAAATTTAAATATATATTATACTTAGTGGAAGTTCTATAGACCATTTCCATTGAGAGTTCTAAGGGGATTCATGGTCCAGAATTCAATGCATTCGGATTTTAAAAAAAAAAATAAAAACGCTCAATAACTTAAGAATTGCCGTTTAGTTAAGAGCTCGAAAATTGGAGTTATTAATCCGTAGTGCGTTATTAGGCGGAGAAATAATGTGTTTTGTAAATAAAAATGACATTTCTCTTTCTTTTGCACGACATTTTATCGTGAATCAAAAAAAAAAAACATGTTCGTGTTTCACCAGCAATTTTGTTTTTTTCGACGATTTGATTGCGATGGCAAATCGGAGCGGAGTTGGGGAAAATCAAGACTGTTAACTCCATTCTCGTTGTCAAGGTTTGTTTTCCTCCACTGATTCTCTGTTTTCGTGTGCAAATCGGATTTGGGTGAAAAATTAGGGTTTTTTATTTGGAAAACCCCTAAATAAAATTCACTAATAGAAGATAATTTTAATATGGGATTCTTCACTATTTACAAAAAAAAAATGGTAAGAATCCCAAACCGGGTTCATTGATAGAGATGCTTTTAGTCCAGTGGTCGATTAAAAGTTCATTAATGCTTTCACACTAAGAAGTTTAGGTTTCAATCCTGGAAAATGCGATTTTGTAAGTTATTTAATAAAGACAAGTTTATAAAAAAAAATTTTAGCGTGGTGTAAAAAGAACCGTTCGTTGTGGATTCAGACTGTGTAGATTCTAGTGGAGCGGATAAATTATTAATTGAAAAAATTGTTTTTGTAATAATTCTTCTAATAAAATAAAAAAACATTGAGATGATAAAAAAATTATTATACTTAAAATTAAATAATGGATCTTAAGCTGTATAGAAAATATTTTGCATGTTGCATGATGTTGAACTCTTATTTTTTTTTGTATATGAGAATTGAGATATGAAACTCCGCATAAAGATATGGTAGTAAAGTACGCAGCTAGTTTACAAAACAACTGTAAAATAATTATACACAAGAGATGAGTATTTTTGTTTGTTTGTCAAAGGATATTATAAGAGAGAGTATTAATCAGCATTTGTTGAATAAATAATTAAAAGCAAGTGTCGTATTTTGATGGTTAAAGAAGAGAGTATTAATCACTTTTTGTTGAATAAATAGTTAAAAGCAAGTGTCGTATTTTGATGGTTAAAGAATAGGATACTTCGTCTATAAATTCTTCTGCTATGGTAGTATATTTGTCAATGCTTCAAATGATAACAACGTACTCCTAACGACGCCTTTAAGTAGTTTACTTCACATTTTAATTAAGTTCTTAGATTTGAGTTGTTGTTGTGTATTGACTCTAAAAATAGTCATAGATCTTATCCGAAGGGATTATTGCAACGCACCTTAAAGAAATTAATGGGAGTTTTATAATAATGTTTATTGGATCGTTTTGATGATAAAAAGGGGACATGAGGGTCCATTGTTAGATACGCAAGTCCCGTATTTCTTTACTTTGACAAAAAAAGAATTAATAATTATTAAGCTATGAATGAAGAACAAGGATATGATTAATAGAGGAAAAAACTAAATTCGTAGGGTTGCGTAGTGATTATTAGTCTACACAACTAAAATAAGTGACGGAGAAAAGAAGAAACCTATTGCACGAACTCATTAGTAGACTCATTATCATATTGGTGATAATGCTTAGTAAAAGTGGAGACAATTTTTTCTTTAACCTAGTCCGGTATATATGCATGTTAGACTCTTATATTATCAGCAGAACGAAGATTAGGATTCACTTAAATATTAGCTAAATGCCTATATTCATACGGAAATTATGGTCCAGGTTAGATATAGGGTACGATTGATAACACTATCAAAATCCATAAATGAGACAGTTAAGAGAAAAGATAGATTAAAAGAATGGTTCTAATAAAATAGCAGTAAAAGAGAAGGTTTGGTTGAAACTTGAAAGTTGAAACAGACAGTTAAACAATGTTTTTAACTATTTTCTGAAAGTATAGAAATTTGACAGAAACCTTTTAAGTAGTTTTATATATGGGTTCTTACAATCTCATCTCATTGTCGCTAATGAGACACTGATCAAAAATTTGTTCGTTCTTCGCGTAAGCTCTACTTAGAAACTACTTAGAAAAAAAAGAGAGTAGGAAAAAGAAACCATTCAAATGCAGACTAATAATCAACTCCTGGAACATTCATAAATCATTCAAAGAACAAAACTAACAACAAGAAAGCAAACAAAATACTTGATCAAAACTGAAGAAAACTTGTTAAAACAAACGACTATAGTCATAATCAACTCCTGGAACAAACCACTGAGCTTCGTTTATATAAAAACATGATTTCTTAGGCCATTCGATTCTACCAGTAGCCATGTCGAAGACACCACAATCCGAAGCACGATCTTCATGATCTTGATTATCAGGCCAAACATCATCTTCAACGAAACAGATTGAATCACTCTTGATCCCTTCAGTAAAACAACATTCAACAGGTGCTCTTAGTGTAACCCCATGACCAAAAACCACCATCTCTCCATCTCCTATAGAATCCACTCTTTCCCACTCGCAGCTCTCGCGATTCATCTTGAATACGTAGAACAAAAGTTTCTCTTCATCATATTTCTTTTCTTTTAAGCTCAAGATGATCAAAACCTCTCCTGATCTCTGAATCGCTATTTTCCTCTTCCAAACGAATTCCCTCGGCTTCTCATCGAATCGAAAAGGATGTTTACGATAAGGGTTCTTCTTCTTCTCTTCTCTAGGGTTTCCTTCTTTAGAAACATCGAAAATCTTGATTTTCTGTTTAGTTGTCAACACGTAAAGCTTGCTGTTCTTATAAGCTATGTCAAGAAAAACCGACTCGCTGCCTTCTCCTCGAGGTTTAACATTCGACCAAGAATCATCTCCCTTCTTGTATGTGAACAAGTGGTGCTGACTGAAAGTCCAAGCAACGAAGTAATCCTCTTTAACCTCGTCTATCCACAGAACAGCTGAGTTTTTCAAACGATCTGGCCCTTCAAAGGATCCATAGCTCTTCCAATCATCGATTGCTGGGAGATTGATCCTTTTGCGCGTTAACAGGTTCAAAAGATGGAAATGAAAACGAGAATCAACCATCAGGATCCAACTCCCGGAGCTAGCCATACAATAGCTGCTTTCTTTAAGTCCTCTTCTTGTGTTTTTTATAGAGGACTCGTTTTCTTGGGGATCAAGCAACGGTTGACCACCTTTTGTGTAATAATTGTTGGGCCGAAATTATTGAACCCATTAAGGGTGAAGATGAAATGAAGTGTGTTGTAAGTGGTTTTATCCCACATCGGTAGATTAGTGGGAAAATCTGTAGTATATATTAAGATATGTTTTATACATGTTCAAAACATGTGAGAGAGAAAAAAATAAGCCCCACACGCGCCCCGCCGCCAAGCCGGGTACGGGTCGTGTTGGTCGAATGGGCCTAAGGCGAATATTCTTTTTGGACCATATTTTTATGGGCGTTTTGGTTGACTTTCTGCATATGTTTTGATTCAGTTAAAGAGAATATTGGATATTCATTATCCCTTCAAAAACGTATCAGATTGTGATTAATCACAGATTGCTGATTTCTCGCCTTTGACTACGCTAAATTTATGGTCGAGATTCGTGTTGACTAGCGGATTTCTTGGGATTTTTTGAGACTGCTCAAGTCTCTTCCTCCGCTATATATACACGACTTTTCTCTCATTTTTTTGACCTTACACCTCTCATTTTTCCTCTCATAAATTCTCTCAACAGTCTCTCTCTCTCTCTTTTATTTTTCGTAAGTCTTCTACCGAGAGTATAGTAGAATTATAGTTCGTTTAAATCCGTGTTTCTTAGTGCTGTTGAAAACGGATAAGTTTGGTTGTATCCTGCGACTCTTGAATTACAGAAACCCGTCGCACTACGGGCAATTCATAGAGTTAAGGAAAGAGATCATACTCTCGCCTCCATTCGTTTATATTTTCCTTAACGTTTATTTTTAAAAACTCGTATTTCAATTGCTATTTCGTAGTGTTCAATATTTATGGTTTTACAATAATAAGGGGACCAGTTTTCTTGGGGATCGAACAACAAACCACCTTGGTGTATGATGCGTAAAGGACACGGAGGACGATTCAAGCATGTTTTCCAAACGGAAAACCAATCTGAGCAAACGGCTTTTGCTTGGTGAGAATCAATAGGGCTCAGTGTCTCTAAAATCTTTCGCAAAACGTCAGGACTAAGGTTGGACCAGTCGCTACATCTCGTCTTCTCCTTTCTGATATTTCTAAACGCTTTTGTCACAGGGTGAATATGTCCACCTTTATCTTACCTTTATCATATTCCAAATAAATTAGTCCGGTATTTCGTTTGGTACGTTTGGTACGTTGCCTATGTAAGGCCTTTTGGCATTTGTAGAAACCTTAATCGAATAATCATTTCCTCACTCTTCACTCTCTCTCTACCTTTTCTCTCTGAAATCTTCTCTATCTCCTCCGTCGTCTCTATCCACGGATTCCAAGATCAAAAGGTGATCTCCTCTCTCCTTCTATCACCATTTTGAGACTGTTTCTTCATCTCCATCAGATATTCCTTCTGGGTTTCTGATTTGGAGTTACCTATCTTATATTTACTGCTTCATTGGTATCAGAGCTCTGCACGATCCCGGAGAGATGACTATGGAGACGAGACAGCATTCGATTTCCGAGCTACACAAGCAGATCGATGACCTGCGTTCACTACAATCGAAGCAAGACGCCGATCAGAAGCTACGAACAGATTCTTTGTTCGCTGGTCTCCGATCTGAGCTCGACGGGAAGTTCGCGAGCTTCGACGACAGGTTCACGGGGTTGGAGACGGCGATTCTGAAGTACTTTTCTCAAGGATCGGTACTGAATCAGCCTAACTCACCTCAGTCAGCTGGAACTACTTCATCGGCGGGTACCACCAACTCCGCCGGTCTACTACCGACGCCGGGTTCTACAAGGCCACCAGATCCGCCAGATCTGACAAGATCGGGACCGAATCTGAGAAGCAACAACCCAACGGAGGTTACGACGGATCTAGCGCTGCCAAATGGGTTGTTTTCGAGGTTGACGAAGGTCGGATTCCCCTCATTTGACGGTACGACGCTCCGTGAGTGGCTTTATCGGTGTGAGCAGTTTTTCTCTCTAGACAACACCTTACCGGAGTATAAGGTCCGGCTCGCATCGATGCACATGACAGGAGATGCGCTGGAGTTTCATCAGAACCTCATCAAGGAAAGGTATGGAGTGTACCCTCCCTGGTCTGAGTATGTTGAGGCTATTTCAGCAAGGTTTAGTGAATTGTTTGATGATCCGATGGCTGAGTTAGTCTGTTTGAAGCAAGATAATGACTCGATCGCCGATTACCTGCGAAAGTTTGAGCGAGTTAAAACCAGGTTGACCATATCGGCGGCTGATGCTCTCAGCATCTTTCTCACCAATATGAATCAACATCTCGCGTTACACGCCAGACAGTTCGGGGTCAAAACAGTCACTGAGGCAGCTCGCATAGCCAAGCTGGAAGAGTCTGTCCTGCAGTGCCTACCGACAAAGTTTCATAGAGCTCCCTTCAGTCCTTTTTCGATGCAACACCAACAATCCAACTTTAAGAGCCCCAGCTCCTCTACCATGGTGGCGTCGCCGAAGCAGTATGAGATGTCTAAGCCTCAGTCTATCAAACCGAACTTCATACCTAAGAGTGCCCCAGATAAGTACCCTCGGAAGTACTCTTTCGACGAGATGCAGGAACGGAAGAGTAAAGGCCAATGTATGTATTGCGATGAACCCTATACACCCGGGCATCATCTCAAACATAAGAGAGCTCAGATTTTCGTTCTTGATGGAGATGAGGAATGTTCAGATGACGATGGTGAGTCCGTGGAGTTGTCAGAGGAAGCCACTCCCGGTGAAGTTGTCAAAGCTCCAACCATCTCCATACATGCACTTAGTGGAACTACCAGTTTCCACTGTATGCGAGTGGTGGGTCAGTTCGGTGAGAAGAAGGCGAGACTTCACATACTGATTGATCCGGGAAGCACTCATAACTTCTTGGACCTTGGGATTGTGGAAAAGATCGGTTGTTCCGTAACTCCTATCAAAACTATGGCCGTGGTAGCAGCGAGTGGGTTAATGGAAACATCCTACAAATGCTCTGAGTTTGTCTTCCGAACACATGGTTATGAGTTTCAGACCGAAGTCCGAACACTTCCTCTCGATTGTTGCGATTTGGTGCTGGGAGTGCAGTGGCTCTCCACATTGGGGCCTATTTTGTGGGATTTCCTCAATCTCACTATGGAGTTTACATTGGCAGGAATTCGGTACAAGTTGAAAGGGGTCACTAAGAACAACTGCAAGGTCATTAAAGGTGACGGCCTCAACAAGTTACTCGCTCAAGGACCACAGATTGCTATGCTCCAGGTCCGGGAGGTTGTAGAAGGAGACACCAATACCCGCTCTTTGGAACCAGAAGCAATGCTTTCCCACATCTCCGCGAAGAGCCCTGATAGTACGCAGGAGGCTGAGCTCCAACCTCTCCTGGATGCTCATTCTGATCTGTTTGCAGAGCCTACTGCACTACCTCCTTTTCGCGAAGGGTTCGACCACCGTATTCCTCTTGAAGCAGGCGCCAACCCGGTCAACCAACGACCCTACAGGTACTCTTCTCTCCAGAAAGATGTCGTTGATAAACTGGTGCAAGACATGCTTTCGCAGGGGATAATACAGTACAGTTCTAGTCCATACGCCTCTCCTATCGTACTAGTGAAGAAGAAGGATGGTTCTTGGAGATTATGTGTGGATTACAGGGGGCTCAATAAGCAGACGATCAAGGATAAATACCCGATACCATTGCTTGAAGACTTGTTGGATGAACTGGGTGGATCTCGCTACTTCTCTAAGCTGGACTTGCGCGCAGGGTTTCATCAGCTGCGCATGGATCCACAGGATGTATACAAAACCGCTTTCAAGACACACGCCGGGCACTTTGAGTATCTTGTGATGCCCTTCGGGCTAACAAACGCTCCCTGTACCTTTCAGGGCTTAATGAACCACATATTCCAAGGTGTTGCCAGGAAGTTTCTACTCGTCTTTTTCGACGACATTCTGGTATATAGCCCCACGTGGGAGGCGCATCTACAACACCTGTCCGAGGTATTTTCCATTCTGCGAGAACAGCAGTTATACTTGAAGGCATCCAAATGTACTTTTGGTGCCACAGTGATTGAGTACTTAGGCCACTTTATCTCGGCGGAAGGCATTAGCACAGATCCCAGCAAAATTAAAGCCATCGAGCAATGGCCCACTCCTACTAGTCAGAAGCAGCTACGGAGTTTTCTGGGTCTTGCAAACTACTACAGGCGATTCATTAAAGGGTACAGCATCATTGCTCGCCCCCTCACTAATCTTCTAAAGAAGGACGGGTTCTCTTGGTCCGCTGAAGCAACAGACGCCTTCACAGCTTTGAAAGCCGCTCTTGTGTCTTCACCAGTGCTAGCTCTTCCGGATTTTGAGAAGACCTTTGTGGTCGAAACTGATGCATCCAACACCGGCGTGGGAGCAGTGTTGATGCAGGATCACCATCCAATTTGTTACATCAGTAGATCACTTGGTCCGAAACACCAGTCCCTGTCTGTGTATGAAAAAGAGTTGATGGCGGTTGTTCACGCAGTGCAGAGTTGGAGTTCTTATCTGACTCATCGTCCTTTTATCATCAAGACGGATCAGAAGAGTCTGAAGTTTTTGATGGAACAGAAAATCTCTACACCTTTCCAACATATGTGGTTATCCAAATTGATAGGTTACAATTTTGAGATTCAGTACAAGCAGGGGAAAGAAAACTATGCTGCAGATGCTCTTTCCCGTGTCACTGGTTCCCAACCCCTTCACGTTACGTTATCTCAAGCTCATCAGGGGTTCTACGATTCGATCAGGCTCCTCTGGCAAACTGATCCTCACCTTAAGAGGATAATCACCGATTTACAGTCAGATCCTGCTTCACATCCTCTGTATTCTTTCACAAATGATGAACTCAGGCGAAAGGGGAAGCTTGTTGTGGGTAATGACTCTGGGGTAAAGCTGCTTATCTTGAAATGGTTGCATGATTCAGCGGTTGGAGGTCATTCTGGTCGTGATGCAACTTTACACCGAGTGAAATCTCTGTTCTTTTGGCCGAAGATGAGTTTGGAAGTTCAGCGTTACATCAGGAATTGTGGGGTTTGTCAGAAAAACAAGTACGACGTTTCTGCTAAACCTGGTCTCCTCCAGCCTTTGCCTGTTCCAAAGGGGGTCTGGGAATCGATCAGCATGGATTTTATTGAGGGTTTACCTCCCTCGTTTGGCAAGCACTGTATCCTTGTAGTAGTGGACCGTTTAAGCAAAAATGCCCATTTCCATCCTCTATCTCACCCTTATACGGCAATAGAGGTGGCTCAAGTGTACTTGGATCACGTCTTCAAGCTTCACGGGATGCCTCAGGATATTGTCAGTGATAGAGACCCGACGTTTTTAAGCGAAGTCTGGAAGGAGTTATTCAAGGTTCATGGAGTTGAACTCAAGTTCTCCACAGCCTACCACCCTCAAACTGATGGGCAGACTGAGGTCACGAATAAGACCTTGGAGACCTATCTCAGATGCATGACTTCAGAGGCGCCTCACACATGGAGCAAGTGGTTGCCACTGGCTGAGTGGTGGTATAACACCACTTTTCATTCCGCAGCTCAGAGTACTCCATTTGAGATAGTCTACGGGCAACCACCTCCTTTGCACCTCCCTTATTTACCAGGTGAGAGTTCCTCGGCAGTGGTTGATAGGAGTCTGCAGAAACGTGAAGATCTCATCGCTATGTTGAAGTTCCATTTACTGCAAGCACAAAACCGGATGAAACAGTACACTGATTCTCACCGCTCAGCTCGTGAGTTTCACATTGGTGATCATGTGTATTTGAAACTTCAACCATACCGTCAACACTCTCTGAAGAACCGCAAGGTACCTCATAAGTTATCCCCTCGTTATTATGGTCCATTTCGTGTGGTTGATCGTGTGGGTAAAGTCGCCTATAAGCTGCAACTCCCTACCACTGCTGCTGTTCACAATGTGTTTCACGTCAGTCAGTTGAAGCTATGCCCGAACCCTCCATCCTCGGACCCAGTCCTACCCCAGTATCTCCTGGATATCGGCACAAGCAAAGAACCAGAGGCCATTCTCGAGACAGATGGTTCAGCGACAGAACAAAGCTGTCACTAAGGTACTCGTGCAGTGGAGAGGTCAACCCCCAGATCAAGCCACTTGGGAATTCTACCAGGATTTCATAAGCAAGTATCCAGAGTTTCATCTTTGAGGACAAAGATGGTTTGAACAGGGGAGTATTGTCACAGGGTGAATATGTCCACCTTTATCTTACCTTTATCATATTCCAAATAAATTAGTCCGGTATTTCGTTTGGTACGTTTGGTACGTTGCCTATGTAAGGCCTTTTGGCATTTGTAGAAACCTTAATCGAATAATCATTTCCTCACTCTTCACTCTCTCTCTACCTTTTCTCTCTGAAATCTTCTCTATCTCCTCCGTCGTCTCTATCCACGGATTCCAGGATCAAAAGGTGATCTCCTCTCTCCTTCTATCACCATTTTGAGACTGTTTCTTCATCTCCATCAGATATTCCTTCTGGATTTCTGATTTGGAGTTACCTATCTTATATTTACTGCTTCAGCTTTTTCTGTCTTCTCTCTTCTCATCAAATCATTAAGCGCATCCATGCCTGCGCTTACCTGCCACCGAGCACACTAATGGAACTAGCTAGGGTTTTGTTTTGATTTTATCAAGTGTTTATTCACAATTTATCAATCATTATTTTCAATAACTTACATTTTTATTTCGTATAATAAAAAAAAAAATCTCTAAAACTTATAAACATCTTATTCTATTATATAAAGCAATATTATAATTTATCAGATCGTGACATTTGTCATGGTTAATTTATATTGTGACATGTGTTAATGCAATAATATATATTTTTTTAATTTTCAATTATTTATTTAAAAATATATGTTATTTTAAAATAAAAATTATTAAAAATAAAAAATAAAGTTAGGAAAAATAGAAACAACATATCTTGGAAATTATCTCTTCGGAACCTTATAATTTATTTAGAGGATCGTTTATGAGATTTATGGATACTATAGATTAATCTGTAATTTCTTAATTGTGAATCTTAAAATAAAATTTGTGAATAATTTAAAAAAATTAATTTAGAATTTAACTATACATATCATAATTACGCTGGTTATAAAATATAAAGTTTAATTATGTTTTCTTCAATAAAAATTACTAAATAGAAATAAGAGAAAAAAACAAAATGTACAACAGAAATTATGTATTTGCAACCTTATCATTTATTTAGAAGTATTTATTTATAAATTTGAATTATGAATCATAAAACGTAATTTGTGAATAAATTAACAAAATTTTAATTTAGAATCTAATCATCATATAAATCATAATTAAGCAGATTATTAATTCAAATCTAAATAGTTTCTTATTTTTCCATGTATTACGCGGCACTTTATCTAGTTAATGTATATTACCAAATCAGAACGAAACTAAATCTTGAAAATCTTTTAATATCATTATATCTACTAAACCTATAATCTATTCTATAATCTATTTTTAATCCTGCGAACTTTTTTTTTTCTAAGAACAAGAATCATATAAATTTTGACAGAAATCTTAAAAGCAACTCTATGGGTCAAAGACCCTGAACTAAAACTTATTCATACAAAAAGATTGATGTGGTTCTTTATACCTCATTTAATCTAACATGAAATTGAGACATTTATTAAATCTATGAATAAGTTCTATATGAACAGAAACTCCAAATGTAATCTTACTGATCAGTTTTGTATTTCTTTTCAGTATCTTGATAAAGTTGGGTCAAAGCATCTTTTTGTTTTGTGCAAACTTCTCGTTTTATATTTAACTTGGTTTCGAGCATACAAACAGAGAGCATGTTTTGCAAGGTTTATCAGCCAATACATTTGTTGGATCAGGAAATAAACTTGAAAGCTAAGTAAAAGACTAAGAGATATCGAGAGGACTCCATCAAGATCAGATTCGAATCGGATTCTAAAAAATCCCAAATCCTTTGTTAGATGCCATAATAACGGTTAAAGACTCATCTGATTGCCGGCACAGCTTGTAAGGCTCGAAAATATATCTTCATTTATGGACATTGTGAAATAACACTTAGTGTAGAACAAGAACAGTAAGTTTTGAACTTTACTTTACAGATGGGATTTCATTGAATTTGCAGGCACGTAGTTCTATCGAGGAAGTCAGAAACTGTCAACAGAACCAGAATGGAAAGCAAGGAAGAGAAAAAGAATAGCAAGTACCAAGTCAAAACCAAGAAAAAGAAGATTAATAACACAATAAAGTGTTAAAGAAACATTCAAATGCAGTTTATAAATAAAGCTCATGAGCCAATTGTATATAAATATAATTTCTCCGATCAATTTGACTCGGATCCTTATATACATATATAATCTTCCTTTCTGTTTTAAAAATAATGCACACCCAAATCTCATCTTCCAAGACCAGCTTCAGTTGCAAGAAACAACAGCCGTTGTTTAACTAACTATATGATTCTTCAATGGGTTTTGATTGTTTTTAATATGAGACGTTGAAAAGGTTATACCTTTAGAGAGCCATCTCAGCCTGTAATGCAGCGAGTTCATCTTCATCAGCGGTTTGTTGCTTCTGAGTTGCAGGACGAGCAGGTTGCTTCTGAGGTATACCGTTTTGAGCGGGTCCTGTTGGCTGAAGAAGTTGCTCTTCTAGCTCCGCGCCTTCTAGTTCTTCAAGTTCTGCTTCCAATTCATCCTGCAATCTCCCAATAAAGACAATGTTGACAAAGCTGAAAAAGACTATGTGTGTGTGTTTTTGTAAAGAGTATGATCGTGGGGCTAAGAGAAAAGTCTTTACCTCATCGAAATCAGCACCATATCCAAATGGAGCTGACAATGCTTCCTGGATCTGTTTCATGTTATCAGTTTGCTCGTTGATCTCATCCATTGTCTTGTCAACATCGTCAATGTTTCTGCATAACACAGATGTGTTCAAAACGCACACTTAGTCCTCTGCTTAAATCATACCCACTATTTGGAAAAACTCAGGTAAAAATAACCACATACGTTGCTTTTTGCATAGCTTTCATTGTAGAAGCTCCAGTCCTCAAAGCATCTACAGTCTCTGTTGTTGCTTTGGCACCTTCTAACATAATCATCTGTTAAAACACAGACAGTGATATATTCAATAAATCGCTTAATCATCGTAGCAAATTTCATAATATCCTTCATAAGTTATCAAACCAAAAAATAACAGGGCTTACTTGATCATGAATACGGAGCTGGAAATTCCCAAGCTGTTCAACTTGTTGCTCATATAACCTCTTCCTTTTCAAACATTGTATAGCCGCTGCACGATTACAACAAGCGTAAGACAATCTTATCTAGAGACAACGCAAACACATTCTCGGAGGTTTTCTACACAGAGAATATTCTAACAAGTCTAAACGAGAATTTGGTTCATAACAATCACAAAAACGAGGTTTAGCCTAATTACCGCGTTTGTTCTTCACCCGGGAGAATTCCTTCGCTCTCTCAACCTCTCCAGCAGCTTTTTTCAAGAGAACATTCTCCTTCTTCTCTAACATCTCAAGAGTCTGAGGAAGAACAATGGCACAATCGAGAAATTAACACAAAAGAAGCATCGAAAGAACAATAAACCAAAGTTGGTTTAACAAAGTAAGACAATTCCAATTTTCCAAAACACATACAAAAAAGAAACTAAGCTTTGTCTTGACTTTACATTGAAGAAGATAAAATAAGCAACAGTCCTTGACCCATTAAAGAGTTGTTGTTATCTAAATCTCTTAGCTTGTTAAAAAAATCCAGATTTGACATAAAGATCAAAATTTTCAAATCGGAAAAACAGAGGAATCGAGTGGTGGTGATAGATACCTCGTTAAGCTTGTCTAATGTTTGGAGAGTATTAGTCTCCTGCTTTGGTTTCCCGAACAGCCGATTCAACATTGCTGATTCTTGATTGATAATTCGCAAACCACACTGAGATCTCCTCTACATAAATCGAAACGATAAAAAATAAATAAACTTTCGCGTTCGAAATTAGGGTTTCTGTGGGTTCCGTTCACAAGAAAAAATTTTGATTACAAACCTAAAACCTTTTATTAATATTAGATGCCGAGATGTCTAGGTGAAGATTTTACAATAGAAAAGGAAGAATAAGGTTTTATCAATATACCTGAAGCGAAGGTTGCTTGATTGAGAGAGATTAATCGAGCGATGACGAAGAAGAAGAAGAAACGGCGTTGAAGTTTGTTCAATTTATTATACAAAAAAAAATCTAAGGATTTGGGTTTCCTAATCCTCTTCGACTTTGTAATGTAATAATTGATTGATATTTTCTTATAGACAGACATTGTGATATTTGATTTGTTCTTTTTTTCTTGTCGGGTGATATTGATTTGTTTTTTTTTATTATTATTTACGATGATATTAATTTGTTCTAACTTCTACCGTTTATATATTATCGCACTTCTATCTCCGAAATTTCGTTGAATCTTTTGCGAATTCCTCGGAACATATTAATAATTTGCTTGTAAAACTACTATACCCTAATTTTTACATATATTTAATTAAAAACAAAAATTGACATCTTTTGCTTACTGCATGATTCTTTGATTTCGTCTCTCAAGGGATGGGCCTGTGATCTTTCAAGAAAACAGATGGGTCAAATCTGAGATAGAGCCCAATTATAAGGGAATTCGAGGATACTTTGTCTAATAAATCCGGTTGAGTTTTGTTTTTTTTTTTGTTTTTTTGAAATTTGTTGATTTCCTCTTTTAATTGTTAATCTAAATTTACCAATTCGATGATTCTATGTGTGTACGTTCGCACGAGCTCGAGAAATGTCCTTTGTTTAATGCCTACCCATTTCAAGAAACACCATCATGAAATAATAATGTAAACGTTCCGCTAGCCTTCTAAATCTTTTAGGATCTTCATAATACCGATCGAGTACGTACGTACCATCATACGAGAGTAATTTGTGATTTTTTTTTTCGAGTGGCAATAATACTGTTAACCTTGATGTTGACTGACCATCATCGTTGTAACGAGTGGGTTCAACGCTTACATTCATAGTTGCTAAGAGCACTTGGTGTCGATTTTAAATATCGTGGTACTTGAACATACATGTCATATACTTATCCTAATTCTTGTGGTTATCTATCTTAATATATTCAAGTTATATTTAGCTATCTAAATATATTCTAGTTATATTTAACTAAGTTACGCAACCACGCACATCCTAATAGAGCGATTATTTTAAGTAAATAACAGCTTTTTTTATTTTTAACCTTGTAAATAACAGTATGTTGTATGATCAGTATGGACGTGTGGTTAGAATGAAAATATTCAGGTTTGTATTGATTTAGTCTTGGGCCGGCCTTTCTTATAATAAAAAAAAAAACTTAATACGAGGAAAACATAAAAAAAATGAATATGGAAAATGGAGAAAACACGAATTTGCATTTAACAAAGAACACGAAAAACAAATTGTTAAAAAAAATGAGGATGTATAGTAACATGGAAAGGGAAACTTCTAGCAATCGATGTCAGACTAAAGACGATGACAGAAGAGAAGAGTCATCTTTCCACCGTTAACAAAAAAAACAATTCTTTCCACCGTTGCTTTGAGAGAAGTAGTTCTGGACCACTATTTATTTTATTTCCAAACGACACATGATAATGACTAACCAAAAAGATGAATTAATAATGCTAAGACGTATACAAAACGGTATAATGTATATTCTTTGAACTGTGAAAGTTCATTCCCTTCATGTCTTAAATTCAAATCTCAAACGATTTGAAAGATCGCCAACGTTTGGTTTGCAGTAAGGTTAGATGTGGAAACTGTATCTCTCTTTCTTTCTTTTTTTTTTTTTTGCAGTAACTTAAAACATCTGTTTACAAAAATTAACGTCATTTTGAAAAAAATTATTTAAGAAGCTACATTTGTCCAAATAAATTATCAGAACTAACATAGGTTCATACATAATTTTACAAAAATGTTTTTTCAGATTCGATCCTTTTGATCAGAGTTTCAAGTTACATAATTGTATTTTCATGATAAATCGACGAGATCAAAGTCGTTTCCTAGATGATCAAGATTCCAACTAATGAAACCTTCTTACGATAATGAAAGATGTTGATTTATTGTAACGCATGAAAGTTACAAGTCAAAACTCGTTATTCAATAATATACTATAATAGTTCTTCCTATCATTTCGTAATTTTGTTCACATACGAACCCGTTAAAAAGTTACCCAAAGAAGACTCATAACATATCGTCTGTTAAGTTGAGTAGTTGTAGGGATCCCGACTGATGTGTTGTTGTTGTTCACGTGTTGCAGTCTACTTTTTTTTTTCGACACGTGTTGCAGTCTACTTAGCGATTGGAAAATGACTTCCACTACTCTTTTTATTCTATTGGTTTAATTCGGTTTGGCTTAAAAAAAAAAAAAAATATATATATATATATATATATATTATTCATTTTGTTGTTCCATTCGATGTGATGGAATGTCTACTCCTACCACCAGGGTTTGGACAAGGATTTTGCATAGTTATAGACTTATAGTATAAAAAAGGCGACTTAAAAAGTATAAAGTTAAAATTTGATTAGCTTTGTTAACACTTTATGCATAGTTAAACTAACAGAGACTACACATCTAGAGTGTGGGACTTACTGGGGTGTGGCGAGGGACAAAACTGAGGACCAAACTATTTTGCTTTCTCGTACCAAATCGATGTGAAATTTAAAGTGACTTTGAGATTAGAAGGAGAACATGCGCACACCAACTTATAAAAAAGGGGATAGATAGATATATTCCATTGATCTTACCGAGCTAATCCATTTTTTCTAATAACAATTTGTTTTTTTTTTTTCGATTTATAGATAGATATTACTCTTAGTCCCTACTCATTAATAGCTTTTATTGAAACATAGTTTTTGACTTTATGATCCTGAGGTGATTTGTCTAGGAGAGGGAAATGCCATGCATAAATATTTAACGTTTAACCAACATATTTATTTTATTTATTAAATGGACATTGAATTCTTTTTTTTTTTTCTTTTTTTGACAACCTGAACATTGATTTTTGTTTTTTTCTTCTCTCTTATTTTTTAATTATACAAAAAGACGTACTGGAAATTAGCAATGCACAATTACTGGATTTTTTCTAATGGAATTTTAAGATAATCAGTGTATAAAATCACAATAGTGTGTATACATTTTTTTAAGAATTTGGTGTACTTTTATTAGTTTTTTTATCTTTATTTAGGTTTATTATTTTACAAATTAAAGTGATCCTCTATATAGATTTGATATCTTATATTTTATGTAACTCTATAATATATAAAACCAGTTTGCACAATGTCTAAACATTATGAAAACACTCATGCATTTTATAGGTCATTTGGTATCTGAGCGGAACAAAAGGCTGAAGCTTTTGCACACACACTCTCACATTTTAAAGAACGACTCATATTTACCTCTTCTCTATATGTATCTTTTGAAGTTTTGTATCTTCTTTTTCAAATAAGCTTTTCCTTGTGTTTTATTTTCTGGTTTGATTTCTACTTTTGTATCTGTTTTAAAGACTAGATTTTGTACCATTTCCTTGCAGATTCACGATGCACTTCGTTTTCTTAAGTGGACTTACATCCATTGCATCTTGAGGCTCAGATTGCAGCCTCAGATTCATCTTCACCTTTCAACTCTTTTCAACCGGATCTAGGGAGCGATCACGTACCTTCCAAGGCGTACTATGCCAGTCGATGTGTGGCTCGTCTATGCTCCCTGTCTCTGCACCAGGATCATACACATTCTGGCATTTGTTTCTAGACATTAACAAACATTTGTTATTAGCAAAAAGAGTTGAAGTTTCTGTAAAACTATATCCTATCTGACAAATGCTTTCAGATTATGATTAGTTTTTAATTAGCATGTTGATTTTACGGTCAGTTTCAAAATCATGTTTCTTTGCTTTCAAAGGATTATGCATTCTACCCATTCCCTTGCTTAATGGAGCTTTATAGTGTGCAGTCGGTTTGGATCATAAATTTTCATTTGCATGCTGGTAAGCTTATATTCCATTTTTAGAACGGTGTGATAGTTCACTTAGATACTGGTGGCTTTTGAGTGAGAAGAATTATGGAGACGTGCCAATGAACGTCTTTGATGCAGTGTTGGACCAATCAATTTAGATGCCTTAGCCAAAATTTTAAAATATGCTTAACCGAATTATAGAAACATATTAATAAAATTTTTTTTGATAGTTTATTTATTTTTCTTTCTTAATTTTTTTTAATTATACATAAAGACATACTGGAAATTTGCTATGCACAATTACTGAATTTTTTCTAATGGAAGTTTAAGATATTCAGTGTATAAAATCATAATAGTGTATGCACATTTTTTGTAGAATTTGGTGTACTTTTATCAGTTTTTTTTTAATCTTTATTTAGGTATAGATTTGATATGTTATATTTTTCTTGTAACTCTATAATATAAAAAATCAGTTTGCACAATGTCCGAAAATTATGAAAACATTGCAATAAAATGAAATTAGAGAATCTACTAAATTATTAGCATAATATTAGTCTGTGGTCAAATCAATAACGAATTACTTGCGTCGTTTAGCTCATAAGTAGAGTCAAGCAAAGGAAATCAATCTGTAAAATTTAATGAGATTTTTCAAAAACCTATAGACAATCGTTTTGATAAGCTCTGAGAATATATAATCCATGAAAGACAAAATAATGACATACAATCTGTTCATTATTCATACAATAATTACATAAGCGATATACATACAAAAAAATACTTTCTTTTCTTAGAACATTCGATATATCATGATCATTACATTAATTTTTATACTTATTAATGTTTTGTAATTATCGGTTACTCAACGTCCTCCACAAAATTCGGCAAGAAAAAGACCAAAACCAAATCTCGGTGAGGGTCAGTTTCGTAATTCTAATCAAAATCAATGTCCATTATTTTCTCAGCTCAGCGAATAAAAAAAACCGGCGAGAAAATTACAAAACTCCTTAAATCGGAAGCAATTTAAAAAAAAAAAACAAACCAAAACCGAAAACTTGATCTTCTTTCCGTAGTTTACAGACAACGGAGCTGCTTACGTGGTCTTCTCTCATTTCTATACCATTCACAAACAAGCACCAGCTCAAGTAGATCGATCTAGGGTTCTTATTCTTTTCCCCTTCCTTTTTTCCTAATCCATTGATTTCAAACGAATTCGTTTTTTTTTTATAAATTGTTTTAGATCGGGATTCGTTGTTTTTTGTTTTGTTTTAGAATCGGTGAGGAGAGATGGGGAAAGTGGCTGTTGGTGCGACGGTTGTGTGCGCTGCGGCGGTTTGTGCGGCGGCCGTGTTTATTGTGCGGCGGCGGATGCAAAGCTCTGGAAAATGGGCTCGAGTGATTGAGATCTTGAAGGTGCTCGAGGAGGATTGCGCAACGCCAATCGCCAAACTTAGACAGGTGGCTGATGCTATGACCGTTGAGATGCACGCCGGTCTCGCATCCGAAGGTGGAAGCAAGCTCAAGATGCTTATTAGCTACGTCGATAATCTTCCTTCTGGGTAATTTTTCTTTTTCTGAATATTGGATTGAATTAAGATAAACATTGGCGATTTTTGTGCAAGTTTATCTGAATTTTACTTAAATTGTCAGATTCATTATCTGATTTAGACAAATCGTTGTCAAGTTTATTCTTTTTTTTTTCTTTTGGATAATTGATGAGCTCCATCTGATAAAGTTTCATGCTTTATGATTCTTTTGGATCGGGTTTCTCTGATTTTGATTTGATTTTTTTTGTTTCTTATTGCAATTAAAAGTTAGGGAATTCCATGAATTTAGATGTTTTTATATATGTTGTAATTAAAACTACTGATGGAATCCATTTGCGTTAATTTGAATCATAATAATCTCTCTTGAATCTGATTTTGGGGCTATTTGTGAAAAAGAAAAACTAATCTGGACAATGTAGTTTAAAGTCATTCGAGTCCTGATTAGTTTTCCTTGGAGTATCTGCATTTTGTTTCCATAGTTGACATGTTTTGATGTCTCACTGTTCCTTGGTTTTGATGTCTCACTGTTTCCATAGTTGACATTCTGATGCTGTTGACACAGTAAAATTGAGCTGTTAGTGAATCTAATCTTGAGCATCAATTTTACAGGGATGAACATGGTTTCTTTTATGCACTGGACCTAGGTGGAACAAACTTCCGTGTCATGCGTGTGCTTCTTGGTGGTAAACAAGACCGTGTTGTCAAACAAGAATTCGAAGAAGTCTCAATTCCTCCTCATTTGATGACCGGCGGCTCAGATGTTAGTTCCCTGACTAGAGCGTTTCCGATTCATTTTCAAGTTTAGTCTTGGTTGATTGATTATCTTTGTGTATTGACTATGTTTTGCCTAATTGATGGAGCCAGGAATTATTTAATTTTATCGCTGAAGCGCTTGCAAAGTTCGTCGCTACAGAAGGCGAGGACTTTCATCTCCCAGCGGGTAGACAAAGAGAATTAGGTTTCACTTTCTCTTTTCCGGTTCGGCAGACGTCTTTGTCATCTGGCACTCTCATCAAGTGGACCAAAGGATTTTCCATTGAAGATACAGTATGAGCTTCATTATCCTTCATTCTTTTCAAAATTTATTCCACAAGCAGCTTCTATGCTTCACATTCCTGTCTATTTCATGAACCCCTTTCTTGATTTAGCCCGGTAGATGAAAAGATTACAGTCACTTGCTTATCATTTTAAAAGCAAACACTCAATACGATTGTGCTTGCTTTTTCTGAACTCTGTTTCTGCTTTCTGTAGGTTGGACAAGATGTTGTCGGAGAGCTTATTAAAGCTATGGAAAGAGTTGGGCTCGACATGAATGTTACAGCCCTTGTGAGTTTTCTTCTTACCCAAAAGGAATATTTTTTTTGTGTTTTTTCACTTAAGCTTATGTCATTTATTTGGTGACGATTCTTTAATTTTCTTTGTGAACTTTACAGGTAAATGATACAGTGGGAACACTTGCTGGTGGTAGATACTATAACCCGGATGTTGTTGCCGCTGTTATTTTAGGCACTGGCACAAATGCAGCTTATGTCGAACGTGCACATGCAATTCCCAAATGGCACGGCTTACTTCCCAAATCAGGAGAAATGGTTTGTGTTTTTTTGCAGCAACATAGCAACTTCAGTTAAGCTTTGTACCACTTGAATCTTAGAATGTACTGCGATGTAGGTGATCAACATGGAGTGGGGTAACTTCAGGTCATCGCATCTTCCATTGACAGAGTATGACCACTCACTAGATTTCGAGAGTCTGAATCCAGGTGAACAGGTATGAGCTTTGAAAAATCTGCTGCTTTCAAGTTTGTTTAGAGAACTAGGATCGATGCTCACACTCTGGCTTTCTCAGATTCTTGAGAAGATCATTTCCGGTATGTATTTGGGAGAAATCTTGCGTAGAGTTCTTCTGAAAATGGCTGAAGAGGCTGCTTTCTTTGGCGACTCTGTCCCTCCTAAGCTGAGAATACCATTCATCATAAGGTACATTGTTATTTAATTGTTACTTGCATCAAATCAGAAGTCTGATATAATCACTTTACGGTATGCAGGACACCGAACATGTCTGCTATGCACAGCGATACTTCTCCGGATTTGAAGGTTGTCGGAAGCAAGTTAAAGGACATATTAGAGGTTAGATTCTCCTTATGCTTAACAATTCAACACTAACATATAATGAGGTCTCAACGAGATTGCTTTCATGATCTCTCAGGTCCCTACGACTTCTCTGAAGATGAGAAAAGTTGTGATCAGTCTCTGTAACATCATCGCTAGCCGAGGAGCTCGTCTATCTGCTGCTGGGATCTATGGGATCCTCAAGAAACTAGGAAGAGAGACACCAAAAGATGGAGAAACTCAGAAATCTGTGATCGCCATGGACGGTGGACTGTTCGAGCACTACACTCAGTTCAGCGAGTGTATGGAGAGCTCATTGAAAGAGTTGCTCGGAGATGAAGCATCAGAGAGCGTCGAGGTGATTCATTCGAATGACGGGTCTGGTGTTGGAGCCGCGTTACTCGCTGCCTCACACTCTCAATACCTTGAGGACTCTGAAACAAGTTAATTTAAAAGAAAGGCTTCATCTTTCATGGCTCCAACAAGCATGGAAAAAAGGTGAGACCTTTGTGTTTTATCTTATGAAGAACTCATTGTTTGCCTTTAGGGTTTAAACAAATAAAAGAGAAAAAAAAGGTAAGCCCTCCGGGGAAATTTTTTTTGTTTATCAATGTTCAGGAACAATAATAAACCCCTGGATTCTTCTTCAGGCTCTGGCAAAATCCAAAAACCAGCCAATGTTGTAGAACTATATATTTCGAGTTCTATATATAAATGATCATATTCATTTTTTTTCCTAGATTACAGAGTGAGATGTGTAATAAATTTTGCATCGTGGGCAATGAAAAATATCATATTTTCTTCTCCAGATTTTGATTTCCAGATTCAGGTGATATCCATGTTTTAGCAATCACACCATTGAGAAAAGATATGATCTTTCTACTGATCAAAGAACAATTACAACAACTTGAGAACGAATTAAGCTGCATCTTCTCACATTCTTGAAAATAATCCAGATAAATATTTCATAAAATCCTTCACTGTAGAAACTTGATCCAAGGTAAAAACTTGATCCAAATCCTTATTTCGAGAGGCGTTTTGGCTAAAAAAATTTAGCCTAAAATGCGTTTTCCTGGACGATGCCGTTTTTGGTGTAATCTTTCTCCGGTCTTCCCTTAAACCCTAAAACTTTGATATTAAGATTTGGCTTCTCAATGGGAGGAGAATCTTCTTTAATTTTCCTTTTCTGAGAAATGCTTCTCTCTCTGTACCAGGAGCGTTTTCCCTGAGAATTTCACCGGGAAAAAGTTCAACCCAGAAAAAAATGTACTGTAATTTGACAAGAACCCAAGGATTTCCCATGGCGATTAGGGTTTCCTTACAACAAACGAAACTCAAAAGTTTCCAGTTCTCCAAGTCTTCGAATTTACCAGCTAAGTGTTACGTAAACCCCAAAGGAAGCGCCTTTGCAGATGTTTCGACTGGGTTTAGCTGCGGTAAGAGTCAAAGGAGTCTTTTAGTTAGTTCTCGTCTTAAATCTGTGGAGCTTGGAATGTTAGGGAAGCTTGAAAGTGTTAGAGACTTTTCGAGCTTCGATTCACAGAGATTTGGGAAACGAAGTAGTAATTGTGGTAGAGGGAAATTCGGATTAGGATCGAAAGCTTTCCGAGAGAAGAGAAGTGGCGGTAATGGTCGTGGAGATTCAATTTGGGTGAAATCTGATGAGAAACCAGTGGAAGAGAGATTCCAGAGAGCTAATCGATCATCTTGGGAGAGGAGAGATGGTAGAACTCGAAACGATTCGGTTTCTAATGACAGGAGAAGTAGATTCGGTGCTCATGGTGAGACGAGGAATCGAGATTCTTTTCGTCCTCGAGGAGATGATAGAGGCGTTGAAGCAGAAGAAGAAAGCAAGAAAGCTGGTGGAAACTCAATTTGGGTTGCTAATGATAAACCTGCGAAAGACCAATTGCCGAGAGCTAACCGGTCATCTTGGGAGAAACAGGAAACAAGAAACCAGAACTCATTTCGTGCCAGAGGTGATAATAGAATCGCTGAAGTAGAAGACGAAGCAATGAGTTATTCCCATGGAGATGATGATAGAATCGTTGAAGAAGGGGAGACTGAGCAAATTGAAGAAGAACCAAATGATGCTAGGTGGCCTGAGATCAGAAACAGGTTCAATAGATATGATGTTAGAGACCAAGGGCGTGACAATGCAGCATATCGAAACTGGAATAGGCAAGAGAATTGGGGAAGGAAAACGTGGCAAGAGGCTACAGAGTCAAGCGTGCCTAGGATGGTTGGTGAAGTGGTTTATGGAGTAAGTCCAGTGTTAGCTGCACTCTCTGTTGGGAGAAGAGAGTTCTACGCTCTGTATGTTCAAGAAGGTTTGGATTTGAGTAGTAACAATAGGAAAAAGAAAGACAAGAAAGGTTTCGAGAAAGTCTTGAAAATGTCTGAAAAACTCGGGTTAGACATAAAGGAAACTTCGAAGCATGATCTTAACATGGTTGCTGATAACAGACCTCATCAAGGATTGGTGCTTGATGCTTCTCCACTGGAACTGGTGAAAGTGAAAGAACTTGATCCGGTTTCACCAGAGGATGAGAAATTCTCTCTTTGGGTAGCTCTAGATGAGGTCACTGATCCGCAGAACTTAGGTGCGATCATAAGATCGGCCTACTTTTTTGGAGCCACTGGTGTTGTGGTATGTGCGAAAAATTCAGCTCCTTTAAGTGCGGTTGTGAGTAAAGCAAGCGCTGGATCGCTTGAAGTAATGGAACTTAGATACTGCAAAAACATGATGCAGTTCTTAGAAGCTTCTGCTGAGAACGGTTGGCGTGTGGTTGGTGGTTCGGTTTCTCCAAAGGCTGTTGCTTTGAACGAGGTTTTACCTGGTAGCCCGACAATTCTTGTCTTGGGGAATGAAGGAACGGGTTTAAGGCCATTAGTAGAGAGATCATGTACTGAATTAGTTCGGATTAGCGGTAATATGCCTAGAGATGTTGCAGTTGCAGAGTCTGATGATGCGGAAGGCGATGGATTCAGATCTTTTCTAGCTGTGGAGAGCTTGAACGTGAGTGTTGCAGCTGGTTTGTTTCTTCATCACTTGATAGGAAAGAAAGCAAGTGTTTGATTCCGTGGTGAGTTCTTCTAAGCAATTTCATTTTTGCACCAAACTTAGGATCTGCTCTGTACTTGTATTACTTTCTACTTTCATTCTATGATTATCTTACGAAATTTGGTTGTCATTGATTTCTTTTACGTGATCTCTTTAAGCTCGAAAGGTTACGCTATAACGAAGTTCTTATGTTGCATTTAGTGAAGGGATAGATATGAAACTAGTGTCTATACGAACAAGTCTTCTTTGTACATGGTTTCGGTTGTTTGTTTGTATTTTCGTTTTTATTTTTACATTCAGTGTGATTTTCTGCAATGAACCTAATTGTAAACGCAAAACCAAACGCAAAAATTTGCTTTTGAAACAATTGAGATCAAATCTCTACAAGCAAATCTTGTTGTAATATGCTCCTTGGTAATTTGCAATGAGTAGGTGGATCTGCAACACGTTATGTGCCCCTTTTATATTTTGTTTTGAAAAGAAAAGGATATGGAGACAAAACATACAAAAGGATGTTTCAAAACATTTGTGTCTTCTTATTGCTCTCACATGGCCTTTCGTACTTATTAAGAGTTACATCTAACTTTATGTGTGTGTTTGCTTTATGTGCATGTGTAATCCTTATTGTTTTTCATCATATGGGTATATATATCCTTATCTAGGGATAGCACAAGGTATAAGCCTGGTCCATTTCAGCCTCGGATTTTGGATTTATATTTAAGGATAGTTTAAAGTCAATTTTCTTGTATATATAGTTTGTACCTTGTACACAAACACTCATAATCCATTGAAGTCAATATCTTGCGATATAGGTTATATATCTTGTACTACACACGCAAGTCTAGTTACGTACATAAGCAAATAATGTATTAGATTGGTCCGGGTGATTGTTTGACCATGACCAAATTTGATTTGATTTGAAGAACATAGAGCTAAGCAAACAAAATCATTCATTAGAGTCACATCAGAGTAGAAGAAGATGCATAGAATATACCCACTGAAATATTAAATTCGCAAATGAGATCAATGATTAGGTCTTAGGAGTAATAAATTATAGAATAAAATATGTGAAATAATTTAGGTTGTCACGTATGATATAAGTTTTTTTTTCTAGAAAAAACACATGTATCTAAGCTGTCAACACTTGTGATACGCTCTGTTCGAAAATGACATGGTCCCTCTCTCTTCAGATTCCGTAAATAGAAAGAATATCCGCGCCGTTTCACATGATCTGAAGATTAATCTAAAGCTTCGATTTAGGACTTTCGAGGTATAAAAAAAAGAAGTTAAACTTGGAGAGTTATATATCCTTCAAAATTACCATTATCATTTTTTCTAGTTCAGAAAAATTAAATTCGATTTTATTTTAATTTGCATGTTTGTTATTCTGTTGTAATAATTTGATTTCATAAAATATCAAATGATAAATGAATTATATTACTTTAAAAGTTGGAAAATTAGAAATGATAAAACTATTAGAAGTAACTATAGTTATTATTTCAAAAAGAGCGTGACTACTATGAGTCTATGATAATATACCTTAAAATGCTGATAAGGTCAAGGAAAATGCAAAATCAAATCATACTAGTAGCAAATGATTAAATTATTGGGTGGTCTTAGACTATTTTGAGGTTTTGTGTGAAACTCCGGCTTTCGAATATCACAAAATATTATGGGCTGAAAATCTCGAACGCTCACGAATTTTTATGTTCACAGTAAAAACTTTAAGTACAACTCTGTTCTTGTATAAAAACGTTTTACGCGGATTACAAATTGTTGGCTGGGTAGATTAAAGATCAATATTATGCGCATACTGATTTGTTAATAATAAACGCGTAAATATAGTAATATACGTTTCCATATTTACTATATTATTTTGAGGACAGCGAAAAAACAATTCTTATTTAGGTAGAGAGTGGTATTTGGTAAATCGTAATTATTAATATAATATATTTGTTTAATTAAAATAGTAAAATGTTGAAATTTCGAATTAAAAAAAAGGGAAGAAAATGGATGTGTCGATGATTGAATGGTGAATTGTGTGATTCCTTTTGAAATATATAAAAGTTTTTGAACTCTCTCTCTGGATTTTCGCTGGTCCGTCAATGGCGATCTGAGAAATTTGACGACTCTTATTGGTTCGATGTGTGTGACAGAGAGACAGCGAGAGGAATTAAGGTCATTTCAAATCTAGGGTTTCCTTATTTTGCTCCTCCATTATCCCATTCCCCTGTTTTCTTCCTCTTCTTCTTCTTTATCCTTATTGTTGCGGGGAAGGGGGAGAAAGAAATTGAGAGCGGAATATGTCTGCATTGGACTCCATTGATGCGATTCTCTTCTCTCTCAGCAGAGCCTTTTGTAGCCCTTTCGCTGTCTTCGTTCAGATCCAGGTGAGCTTTTTTATTTTATTTCTTATTTCTTTTTGGGTTCAGATCGAAGTTTTGGTCACTTCTCTCTTTGAAATGTTGGAGGGAAAATTACGGATTTTGGGTACTCATCTTCTTCACGCTTCGGCCTCCAAAAATCTTGCTTGGTTTGGCCATTTTTTCCAAAGTTTGAGAATTCAAGATATTAGCTACATCGTTTATATCCCCAGGACAATTTTAGTTATGGTTTTGTTAGAACTGTGTGAAAAAGCGTATATAGGAAGAAAAGTGAACGTCTTTGATGAATCATAAACGTAAACTTGGCGTTTTTCAATGATTTCTTGAGGATCTTTCAATTTTCTGCTTAATGTCTTCTCCTTGACTTGTCTGATTTTTCTTGCGTTCGTTGTTCCTTACCGTTTATTTATATGCCTCAGGGATGTACGATATGCTTACTCCTTGCTCTAGGCTGGCTATTGGCTGCATATGTCAGGTAGTGTCTGTGCCAAGAAAAAATGGTTGCTTTAATTGCTATTTGGTTGCACAATCTGCGTTTTTTTTTTGTTTTTTAATTTTTTTTTTGCTGAAGTGTATGTTTATATTTCTATCTTTAAGGAACCGAGAGGTTAAGAGAATTAAAAACAGCATGAAAGCAGGCAATAGCTTGGCGTTCCTTTATCAAGATATCAATGAACTCGAACACTCTAGGCAGGTTAAACTTCCTAGAGTCTCCGTTATCATGCCTCTAAAGGGCTTTGGAGAACACAATCTGCACAACTGGAGAAGTCAGGTGAGTCCCCTCATGTTGCAGTATCATTGTTTCCTTTTTCTTGGTGGAGTTTATTTACTTTTCATCATGGTTATGCTTTTTTGCCAGAGGAATTGTTTTTAATCTTGATCGATATATTTGTGTAGATTACTTCTCTCTATGGTGGGCCATTGGAATTCCTTTTTGTCGTAGAAAGTACTGAAGACCCTGCATATCACGCTGTCTCCCGTCTATTATCTATGTATCAGGTAGAGACGCGTTTTAACATACCTTTGATAGTTCATATAGCATTTTGTGTTGAACTATGTACTGACTTCACATCTCTGCTCAAATCGATGCGTAAATGTGCACAGGACGATGTGGAAGCTAAGGTTGTGGTTGCTGGTTTATCAACGACTTGCAGCCAGAAAATTCATAATCAGTTGGTATGTATGATCTTTGCAGCAGACCAATCTTTTTGTAAATAGCTTTCATCGGTTGCACTACTGTGTGTTTTTTTGTCCTCAGAATATTTCCTTCGTAACTGTTTTTGACCAAACTCTAATCACAACTATGAAAAGCTAAACCATTTCTTCCAATATACGTTTGTCATTTAAGTTAATTCACTAGTTTTCTAAGTTTCGCCTTTTTTTGGTTTCTGTTTCTTGAAGATTGGAGTTGAGAAAATGCACCAAGATACCAAATATGTATTATTTTTGGACGACGATGTTAGACTGCATCCTGGAACAATCGGAGCTCTCACGACTGAGATGGAGAAAAATCCAGAGGTGGTACCCAAACGACATAGTTCTTGATAAATTTCTTCCTCTTTGTGTTTTTTTTTTCTACATGGCTAATGATATAGGCCTTTGATTATGTTTCCTTCAGTTTGGATTTGTTTTAACAGTAATGATGATCTCTTGCAGATATTTATTCAAACTGGATATCCTCTAGATTTGCCCTCTGGAACTCTTGGGAGTTATTGCATCTATGAATATCATATGGTACATTATAATCTGTCGCCCTTCTTCAGTCTTCCATTAATTCTATTTTTTACTGAATATCATCACTAGCTTCCCAATTCGGCGTTTAAATTCTTCCATGTTTGAAGCTTTTTGTTTTTCAGCTAATATTTGGCATGTTCTCTTTACAGCCTTGCTCAATGGGATTTGCGACTGGTGGGAGAACATTCTTTTTGTGGGGAGGGTGTATGATGGTATGTAAATAACATTCTTCTACACCATATATAATTTTTTTTTTTGTATTCACTGTGCTACATTTAATTTTGGTGATTGTTTGCAACTATATGTAGATGCATGCTGATGATTTCAGACAAGATCGATATGGTGTTGTCTCTGGCTTACGTGATGGTGGATATTCAGATGATATGACACTTGCCTCTCTAGCAGGTAACATAGAGTGGAAACTCTATTTTGTAGAACGATAGTTTTATGTATGTGTAGTTAGATAGTTTTTCCTTGTTTTCACTCACCTTTTTTATTACTCCAGGTGCTCACAAGAGGCTCATTACATCTCCTCCTGTCGCTGTTTTCCCCCATCCTCTTGCAAGTGATCTAAGTTTTGGACGGTAAACACTCGTATTTCACATGTTTGAACCCAAAGGTACTAAATTTTTAGATGCTTAACCCTTTTTCCTCCTATGATATAGGTACTGGAACTACTTGAGAAAGCAAACCTTTGTGCTAGAATCTTACATATCCAAAGTTAACTGGATAATGAACAAGGCTTTGTTTGCCGTCCATTGTTATCTATCATGGGGTTTTGTTGCACCATACGTTATGGCTGTCGTTCACATCACATCAGCTTTAAGAATCTACATCAAGGGTTATCATCAACTTGAAGACACGGCATTTGCTTCTGGTGGTGAGCATACTTTTCCTCTTATTTAGGTGGGTTATGTGTTCAAGATAAGAGCAATTTATCCTAGTGCCACGATGATTGCTCGTGTTTTTGGGGATATTAGAACTGTAGTATTGCTTGTTTTTTCTAATGCTACATACTG